AAATAAGTGGTTAAATACATCTACGTGAACTACATTATAACAAATCAGATATCTAGTGACTCGGACTGACTTTATCATATTTATCTTTAAGTATAATGTCAGATTTCTGATCTTGACGAAGTTCATCTGCAACTGTTTGAAGGCGTGCAATTTCTTCCTTTTCTTTATCACAATAACTAGTACAAGCTTCCAATTCTTCCAAAATATAGACAATTTTCGGCATTAAATCTCTCAATACATCATCACCATATTCATCAACAATTAACTGACATTCACGACCGATTGATAAAGCGGCATCATATACATCCATTGTAGTAAACATTGTTTATTGGTTTTGAGTCAATGTCAAGTTCTAAAAAGTGATATGAATAATAAATTATATTAACTAAAAGCCATAAACAAAGTAGAGAATGAACTTTCGATCAGATATAATTTCACATTTAAAACAAGTATCTATTATGAGAAATTATTTACTTATAGAAACGTATCTAGTCCTTGTTCAATATATTTAGCATGATATATAGAGTAAGTAACTAGTTTACTGAATGTGTTCAAATGCTTTTAAACAAACGTTTGACAACTACAGATTTAGTGACTTTTACAATACACACACAACTAAAACAAATTAATCTAGTGTTCAAATAAAAATCAGGTTTACAAAAAAACGTCCCTTATCGTATTATTTCTATTTACTTACAATTAACCGATCCTCAACTCCAATCTTAAAAAACAATCTGATTATAGACCCATTCAGATGAATACATCCTGATTTTTAAGAAAATGCGCATGCATTACTCAAGTAAGTTAATGTAAATTCATAAGATCACCGACTGACTAAACACATTTACTAAGAATTAAACACAACGTTAACTCAGTAGTTCCGTTAAAAGCCAGCGACACTTTGCACGCACCTATTTTTGTATACTTTTGACATAAATGTCTTATGCTTCTTGTGATTATGATGCACACCTATAGTATAATATAAAATACCAGCATATTATTTATTTAGTTAAACAAAACATTGATACAAAAAAGCACCAAAATATGCGCCACAAAAAGTAGCTATTTTTAAGTTGGTTTGTGAGCCGGAATACTCCCCGAGTGCATAAACCAAAAGTGAGTTTCTTGAGGGGCCACCCACCGAGTCTTTGACCTAAAGATTTAATCCACAAGGCAGTAGAGCAAGATTAGATGTAGTTACATGACATCAGATGACCAAGAACAGGTTCATACACCATTTTCTCCCTTAGGATACTGAAGCCCATTTGCACAACCGGTTTGTAATCAGGGTTCTTCGACTCCCTCAGGTGAATTCTCCGTACCTACAAACCCCGTTTAAGCGCCGGACATTCCCTTTTCGTCCTACAAATTTTGTAAACAACAAACTTGACACAAGAAGCCAGTGAGTAGGATTTCCATGGCCATGTTTGTGAAAACCTATTAAAAAGCCAACCGGTTTTAGTTTCTACTATTTTCTATTTTATTAATTCTAAGAATTCTTTTGATTAGCATGTTTATATAACTAAATGAAAACACAGTCGAATAAGTAGAGCACATAAAATTGGATCATTCGGAGCATATTTCATGCTTGAAAAAAGAAAGCCAATGACAAACATGACCGTCTAGCTAGTTTGCAAATTTCTGTACTCGTCGATGAGCCAAATTTAAGGATTGGGAGCGAATGAGCCTGCACGGCTCTGTACATAGATATGGGTGTTATTTGATCATGAGTAGCACATCTTCACCGCCAAATCAGAACTTCATTAAATTAGAAGTTACTATTCAAGTCTTACAAGTACTGAATTACTTGGTATTTCTTCAAACACTAAATTTGATGGTTGCATTTAGTGCAAGTGTCGTATTTATCAAAAATTGGAAGCACTATGTTCCAAGACTTATAGAACGTAGGTCAGAAATCAAAAAAAGTTCAGGACAAACATGATTCATCATAAGCGAGTTCAAGAAGTGAAACGTTAGATATGAAATCATGAGTAGCTCGGTATTCTTAATAATAAGATGAATGATGAGTCCCATCCTACATGATGGATGGCATCAGGTTTATGATCGACTGCACAGATATATTGAATAAGTAAGTGCTTTTTGACGTATATCTCTCATACCACAAGAGAAACACAGAAAGCATACTTTCGATGATGCTAAGCAGAATATTCTATTTAATAATTATTAAATAGCTATTTACATATATTCTAGAATATTTAATGTGCATGGATCATTTTCATAAAGACACCATAGTGTGAAACTCAAATATTGGTAGTTTTACGCCTAGTTAAAATGTACCTTGTGTGCTGTGGAGTGTGGAGAGCAGTAAGTGAGATTATCTGGGACAGAAAAGAACAAGACAAAAATGTGAGTCGTGAAGTCAGTAGGCATACAAAATGGACTTGCACTTAGAAAACGAAAGCAATTAATGATGAGCAAAAATAACACGAGAGTGATTTTAAGACAATCTGATATTCAAAACAGGGAGTTAACAGTGTCTGGTTTCGAAAGGATCGCAACAAAATTTCATTAAGACTCAAGGTCAACGGTGCATGCATTATTGTCTTACCAGAGTAGTTAAAGTGTTCATCGGAAGTACATAACATAAACAGTTTCTGAACTTATCAGGTGTCCTACTGGCTATTATGACTTATCATCAATTTATATGGTCTGAATTATTCAAATGCTTCAAATGAAGTTTTCTCTTACCGAGCAGTACCAGTAAATACTAAATATATTTAAGTAGGGATTTAAGCAAACAAAATAAGCCAAAGAGCAAAACGTGTCCGCAGATTATTGTGGTATGTTGCTCCGAGGATGCACATCAAGTTTCCTCTTAAAGAATTTCATGGGCGTTGGTTAGACTAATTTATCGGTAGGGGATTCCGAGACTTGGCTACACGTAAGGAATAACTGGCTTGCCCACAGTTGAAGAACTGTCTTGTACTTATTTCATCAGCGGTCTCCAATTAATGTTTGTTAAATACTTAAATTATGTGACGGCTGAAATTGCGTGACAACACTTCTAAATCACACAAAGTTATATTCAACCTAACCAGGTTGTTAGGTTGATCGGCTTTTTGAATGTCTGTAAAAAGTGAATCATATCCTACCCGAAAGAATTTGCATTTGAAATAAAAACAAAAGTATAATTCTCGTAACTGCAACGTCCACACTTAGTCCAAAAATGAAAATGAATGTAGTCAACTGCAGACCACTACCAGACTAAAACAAATAATGCAAAAAGCACATTCATTGAGCGTTGATAACCCGTTTTAATCAATAATATAGTGAAAGTTGTTTAACTATGACGTTAAATAAGCTTTTCTTAAATAACAAGCGACAGCATCGTTCATAACTCCATTGTTGCTCTACGACGTCTATGCACCAACCGTGAATTGTAAGACACCGGACTCGGTACCAGGTGCAATCAGAATCACAGACATGGAGGTATTAATGCGAAAGTACGTAACGCCAGTACCACTGAGCAAAATTATTGGTACCAGCACCAGCTCTGTTGTTAATTATTAATACTGAACGCTTCGAGCAATGCAATCCATATCGACCCCTCCCTAACTATGACTAAGTTTGGTAAGCGACTCGAAATGCACTGACCATTCTCCCACGGTAGGGATGAGTTTTGCTTGACGAACTTATTTAGTGTCTGATATTCTTTCTAACACGACTTATATGACGTTATCAGTCCAGGAATAGGCAATTTAGTTATGAAAGCGCATAAAATTTTGGCACCCCCAAATCCGTTTCTATATTACTTTAATTTCTTTTGTAATTCTTGTTTTTTTTTTTGTGATATGGCAAATTTGGTTGGTGGAAATATTTGCTAACATAATTTGAGCACCGTTTTTAGTTGTAATATGATGCGAAAATAACAACCACAAAATTTTATTGACAATATCTCCCGTGTTGGACGTACAACATTAACCAGGACTAGTCAGTCTCAACAAGTGAACCAACTGCTGAAATACCAAACGGCATAATCTGCTCCTTTCAATACAAAAATATCCAAATAGACACTACCCCATCTACTCTCGTAGTGATGATCAAATCTTTAGTTCTAACCTTGTATATATCTGTAAGCGTGTGTATGAGGCAATTTGAAAGAGATCACTGAAAGTAGGCCTGCCACACTTAGGATTTTAGTCCTTACATTACCTCTATATTTCGAAATCTGTCAAAGTATTTAGGCTTTTAGGCATCGAAGTTATTGCTGCAAAACCCGAAAACATGCTACTTAAAGTGATGTCTCAAACATGATTTTTCAAAAATATCAAATACAAATCGCTGACCAGAATATTCAAATACTTTGTACCTAAGCTCATAGAGAAAAATATGCAATAGTCTTGGTGATTAAAACGCAAACAACGAAAACGACCTGCCCTTACATTTACCAGCTTATTTATCCGTTCAACAGCCGCTGGATACAAGAATCCAAACAAAACCTTAACGACATTGAACATACCGGCACCTGACTCGGATGTGATATTCCACTTCCTCCATTTCTCAACCATACAAACTTCCGCAGTTTATCACTCACTATCTGAAACTGTTAACATCGTACTTAAGATATTGCTGATAGTAATTATGAAGCTCCTTATAAGACTGACTGAATAATCAGACATAAACTATGTAAACATTTGGGCAGAATAGGGAGTTAATGTCGTCACATTGATTAATTAACATGCTCTGTATGTTTATTTATGGTATTCAAAGAACACTATGATCAAACTCAACCAATAAATTAAACTATCATTTCACTAAACAATTGCAAACCACCTAATTTGCAGCACACTGATAATAACATTATGTGATGGAATACTTTGAGAAGAATAAAACGTATTTTTTTCGTCGACTTTATTTTAATATAAAAAAAAAGAAAACTGTGATATCTGAATTTTTTAAAAGTTGAAGAGAATTATTCAACATAAATAAATATAGATCACATCAGCCATTTTATAATTATATCTGCGTTTGATAAGCATTCACGTTGTTTCAAGTAAAAAGCGTTCTTGATCAAAACGATATTGAAACTACAAAATTCGAAAGCAATGAAAACGGATAGTGATAGCTTTTATACGTAACCAGCCATTTATATTAGTTTTGTCATAATGAAATAAAAACCGAACTTTCGTTAATAGTCGACTGTTGAATCAAATTTCCTTATAAAGGTAATTGTATAATGTTTATGCTTTATGAACTACATGTTTAAATCTATTTGTCAGATACCACTGGATATTTAAAAACCACCTTAGTCACGGAGTTCAACCAGGTCTGTTGTGAGATATCAGCTCACTGAAGACAATGGTGACGGTGGCGCAACTTCGTGGATTAGTTGAAGTTAGACATTAACACCGTTGGATGCCGGCTCAGTGGTCTAGTTGGTTAAGCGCCTGGCGCGAGACTGATAGGTCCTGGGTTCGAATCCCGCGGGATGCGGGATCGTGGATGCGCACTGCTGAGGAGTCCCATACTAGGACGAAACGGCCGTCCAGTGCTTCCAGGTTTTCCATGGTGGTCTAGCTTCAATTGATTCATGATTTCAACTATTGAAATGTTTTATATAAATCATAAAGATGGTCTATGCAGGATACTGTAGAAGATTATACCTAAAGTACAAACTCAAAATAGTCCACATATTTATTAGCGAGGTATTCTCTGCATTCATATGTGACTACAGATAATATGTACATGCTGTCTACCCAAGGCAGATTCCCAGATAATTTACATAAACCAATATAATATATGAGCTAACTGAGGCATCATTGTTCAAGTGTTTAGCTTTAATTTATGGATAACAATTTTCGGTGGACAATTTAGACGTTGTGTAACTAAACGCCGTAATGAAAAATGTTTATGCAAACACCCTACTCACATAAACAATCGGAATTCCCTGCATAGATTGGATTGGCTAATAGAAACTGATACAACAATTAGGAGTTGATCATAGTTGTCTCCTAAGGATTGTTAACATCTGGTGCTAACGATGTACTCGACAGTGTGTATTCAGGTACAAAGATGATTCAGTTAGAGTAACGATCTTGTTAAACAGCATCAGTAGTTTATTTTATGAATATATGTACTCGGTAACAGCAAATACCACGATCAGGAATCAACTATATTGCTTAAGATATATTTGATCCTTGTCTTTCAATAAATATAAAATGCGAAATTATCTTACATTCATAAATTTCCCGTCGATTTTTCATGAGCCTTTTTTCCGATATCCTTTAATTTTATATCGAATTGGAACGGCAGCAACCCCAAGTCGAAGCGTTACTACACAGTATTACTGTCGGTATGTTAGCCCCAGTTAGTCACTTTCTTTTAGTTGTAATAACTCAATGGTCATAAGTAAAAATGAAATTAAAAAGGTTAACAAATAGATGATTTACTGTGGAAATTACCTCAGAATCTATTTCATCAAATGACTTGTACATTGATGCTCCGTTAGTCTGAAAATATAAGTATATAAATTGTCAATTATATCACTCGTGTGATTTGTTGGGTTTGGGAAACTTCCTCTACTCAACTTAAATGAAGGAAATCCAACAGGAAGGTGAATATTATGGCAAATGGTTTAACGAAGGATCTCAGTAAGAACTCAATACAGTTATATGAAGTAAACCAACAGGTTAACATACCTAGCTTCAACACAATATGACTAGAAGCTTATCAATTAAATATACGTGTAATCAACACTTGAGTTTAATTACCTGTTTATTGATCAATTTTGTGACAAGTTTAAGTAACAGAAAAAGCTGACCATATTTTATCTACTCAACGTCTGATTGTCGACCAAAAAGATGTCCTCCCTCTACGTTGAATTTACAAAACATGATGTAATGTTTTTTACATTTTTTACTTGAAACAAATGCAGGAGAAACAGAGATATACTTTGAAATAAACAAGCAAAAAAGTCCTTACTTACTCTGTATTCCCCTGGTTCGTCAGCAAGATAACGTTTGTTCAATTCGAAAGGAATCCCAGACAGAGCTGAATTATTGAGAATCAAATGTAAAAATGGACAAATCAAACACTAAGAGCAGCATTAAATACTAAAAACATACAATCAACGATTAACATAAAGGTTGACAATGCAACAATGCAAGTATGACGCATTTGAAACCTTACTCTACTAATTTCTAGTTTCGATTTTCAGATTGTCGTAATCTCACACATGTGTTATTGCTAGTTATTGTCAACTGCTTTTGTAATCAAATGTAAGTGTATACTGTGTGCTTAGTGAGTCACCAGCTCATTATTTTCCTTGTTCTGATTTTCCCAGGTTTCCTCGTATACGTTGCTCTGCATGCCTTCCCAACACACAAAGCACCTTGAAGCTAGACGCGAAAACCTACATATATTGAAGTTTGTATCAAATGGTTTATAATGTAGATTTAATTTTAATTTCGTTAATTTTTAAGATATGGCACAAACACTAACTATAGGTGGATCTGTCTTTATGATTAATATTTCATCTTTTTAAATGATCTAAGATTTATGATCAAATTGGTTTTACAACAGTAACAACAATGACGACAAATTTAAGCCTTCCAATAGATAATGGATTAAATACTGGTTTTATAGTAATTTTATACAGTTTTAATTGTTAAACTTTCATTTCACTCTCAATAACTTTTGTTATAGGAAATTTTACCGATTATAAATTATTGTTAATTAATTATGCATCTGTTGCTCTGTTTTGTAATTTACATATGACATAGTAAGTTATATACTATGATCCTGTTTTTCTTAGTGCATTGTGGTAATCTAATGCTGCGAGTTATTGAGTCAGAATGATAATAAAATAGTAGAAAGTAACTTGGTTAGATCTATCTTGATTGAGTACTGGGTGAATCAACAAGAGTTAGAATTACCGATTGCAATTCATTGTTATCAGTTAAAGAGGTTATTGCTTTTATTGAGTGTAAAAACAAAGCTCGTTATTAGTGAAGCATATAATCTACCAATTTGATTAAGTGGGTAATATAAGAAGCTGAATTCATCATGCTTTCCAAAAAGGCTTTTGTTGGGAATATCAAATCTCCAAAATACAATTTATTAGGAAGAAATCAAATCTAAGGTTATGAATTAATTTAATTCTCCTTTGGTATCTGTCAAAAACATTTCTGGACAAACTTGAACTTATGTCTCAAGTGAGCGCGTAGGAAAGGAGGGAATAGGAAGCATATTTGTTCACTGTCACTGAAGTTTGAATTGGGAGTCAATAGCTTAGTGCGCAGATGTATCAATTTTTCTGAACAAACAGTTTATTTAACTCTATGTTATCTGAAATGATGATGACGAGGATAATTTTCAGCTTAGGTGTATACTTTCGATGATATTGCGTTTTATGAATTAGATGTTATAATTGCGTAGCCTTCATTGTCGCTCTGGACATCATCAGCGCATATTTTATAGAGACTCAATGAAAGAGGCGTTGATAATGTTGTTCGTAATTAAGCCATGTAGTTAAAAAAACAACATAAAAACATCAAATGCAATTCCTTTAGTCACTTTATATATTAACGATAGTGTTGTGAATGACCATCTTTGCTCCACACACACATATACACGCACCAAGGAAATTCCAAAAGATATACAATCAATAACAATATAAAAAATTACATACGATGTACTGTTCCACGTCGTGTTGTAGCGAATGCTTCACAAGCTGAAGTGTTGCCTGATGATGAAAATGCAGGTAAACTTGGATATAAACTATTTCTATCTGGAATTGATGGTCGAGTTGGGACTGATGGGGGAAGTTTTACTTGAACAGATGATCTCTCTGAATTAAGTAGACCAATCTCTGTATGTTTACAATAAATCACAATCGAATTGATATCACTTATTAAATGAATGGGGAAAAGAGATAAGTCGAAAAGGAAAGAGAAAAATACGATTAGCCTATTACCGAAAAAAATCCTTTTTATTTCCAATGAAAAAGATAAAAATATGCCAACAGCTAATGGTACTTAACAGCATTTATGTTTTTACAAAATACTAATGCAACTCATCTACGACTTATGATTGCGGACGAATCGAGAAGATAGTAGAATATCCTCACTTGAATTCAGCATAAACTCTTGGGTTATTGAAATATAAATATTGTTCGTAGTCAATTTTTGTGGTGAGTTAGAGAAGAGCCAAGTGAGCAAAATACATTCCAAAAGGGATGAGTGAATAAAGATAAGTAATTCAACAGCTTCTCGATTGCTTCCAATTCCCTCCATACAAATAATCAGTCAATAAATTTACGGAATACAGAGCACAACTTTATCAATCAAACTTAACTATCAAGACGAAGGTTGCAAAAAAATATCCAAAACTTGCATTACAAGATTTCAATTCTTTGTAATCCCAACAAAACGTTTGTAACAAGCAATTAAACAATGTCAAACTATTCTATATGCATATTGGATTTTTGTTAATCTCTAACCCAGGTGTCAAGCGGAAGTAAGCCATGACTGGCCAATGAACGAGGACAGACGGTTATATTAAGTGTAAGAGACTATGTTATATGCAAAAGTTGATTAGAATTTTCGTTTTGCTTTTATCACACTTGTTGACTACCTTGTATTCTGTAATAATGAATCCAAGTTCTGGCCTATGCCTAGTTCGTGACGATTGATCGAACAATTAAGTTCAGTATATCACACTTAATGAAGTATTGTAATTTATTGAGTACATTGATCTAATGTCCAGATTATTGTGTTAGTTCAATTGATCTACTTACCTAGTATATAGTGCCCAATGTAAAATCGTCAACTACAAACCTGCGTTTCCGTTAATACACATATACTTGGAAAAAAAACGCAAATTTAGAAGATATGGAGATTTACACACATTTGAAGATGGGAACGATAGTTACTTCTTTTAAAAATCTTATTTCCTGGATAATAATATTTGCATAAATCTTTTTTAGAAATATTAGAAAATCTGTTAGTTGTACGTTAAACTTAGTTAAAACAAAAATGAGGATAAATATTTGTTACATTAAAACAAGATAAGTGAAGATGGTTGAAGTGAATTAATAACATGTTTAGGAAATGGAAGACATTTTAATCGATCGGTTGAACTCAACAATTGAATAGTAAATGAATATAGAAAAATAATGAGTATGTTTTATTTTGACTGGTGAAAATCACTACACAAACAAAACTGATGTTTAGCATTCCTACTTAGTTGAAACTAATTAACATTCATTTTAATAATAACAATAAAATATAGTGTGTGTAAATAGAAATCCTTGTCAAATTAATTAATGAAGTAAAACTGCGAATAACGTTCACCAGTATAAACTTGTTTTCTGTATTCGCAAAGGATAAGCTTCTCCGTTCAGTTACCTCGATATGCATCTAACAGCTCTTGTGTAGCAATGTACATAGGCCGTAGCCAGCGCTTGCTTTCAACTTGGATATGAGAACATGCCAGTGTGGTACTACAAGGGTGAGAGGAAAGCAGTCAGAGGATCCATTCTTCAACGTCTAACCGAATCCAATCATTCTACCTATCTACATGTTGATTTTAATGGTCTTTATACAGTTCATCCAAATCTACATAGATTTCTTCGTATTCAACCCCTCAAAACAGCAGAAGCTTTTGACGTTCATGAGCTCAAGCCAGAACTGTGTGTACAAAACAAGCATGTCTCATCGTTACATTGACCTTAATCTATTATTATTATTATTGCATTTCATATTTGAAAATATTCCTTCTCTCTTTTTAATTATTCCTTATATCCTCATGATCTTATTCATGATTGTTTCTGATATCCCTTCATTTAATCTTACACCTCTATTACCTTTAATTATTGTAATAAAAACATTTAAATTGTTTTACTTCATATTATAATCCGTTGTTGACGTATCAATTTTACAAGGCTTCCTATTTGCGCACATTTAATCGTTTATTGTTATCATTCATATTACGTAATCTAGTATTATGATCTTTTTATTGCATTATGTTTATTCCTTGTTCATATGTCCTCACGGAACTAGTAGTTTAACAAAAAAATTTCATATATGTACAATTGTAGAACTTGCTAAGAAATTCGTTGAAAAAAGATCCTTTTGCTGAACTTCGTGTTTTTAATGCATAAATGGAAATGATATATCAATTCATATAAATACTGTTCTTTTTTAATCATTTAATATTAACTGAATTTCCTTCAGTATACGAAAAAATAGACCTTTTTCTAATGGTTAACTTGTAAGATGATCATTTGTAATGTTAGAAAATATTTATGACAAACAAAGCATAGTAGATATTTAATAATAATAATAATAATAATAATAATAATAATAATAATAATAATAAAATACCAACCCGATACGTGTATAACCAGGAGTTGTAGTACGTGGACGACTGTAAACACCAATTCTGGTAATTGCACGAGAAGTTGCAGAACGTGGTGAAAATTTAGCACAAAGAATTTTTCTTTTTAAAGCACGTTCACCTAAGTGGTAAATAAAGACACATCGGATGCAAAAAATAAAGGGAGATCATGATTAATTTAATAATTATTAAGAGATAAAAGTCGTCCATTTTAGACAATCAATAAATTGTAAACGTAAGGATTTGTATTATGACTAAAACTACTCACAGTTGGTATGTAGTTAACAGTAAGATCCTGGACCCGCGTTTCATCTTATTCGGACCCGTTAGCTGGATATATACGCCTGCATCCGATTGTTGGTATCCACACTTTGGGACCTGAACCTAATGCTTTTTGGATCAAACGCCAAAATGTTCTTCACTGAACTTTTGAAACCAGATAGTCACTAGCTTACGCAATGAGTATGAATTTTATTTATATCAGAAAAAAAGAAAATTTGAAACAATAGTCATCTAACAGAGAGATGGGGAGATTGGAAACTATCACCTTGCATAATTTGACACAATGTATCGTCATTTACTTTTTTCAGTCGCTCCTTTCTTTCTACATTATTACTGGCATTTTTAGATCCTTTATGATGAGTTATTATTGAACGATATTATGTATTTCAAATAGTGGTTAGTGGTGTTGTCCAAAAATCTCAATTGTGAAGCAATTTTCCTGGTCCCATATGACGTAACTCCTCCTTCTATTTTTCAGTAGACTATAAATACGATTATATAGCTTGAGTAAATGATACCATTTAAAAGAAAATTTTTGCAGCCAAATTGTCTTCGAAAATGAAGTCACCGATAATTGTTAGAATCTCTTAATGGGTCAAACTGTCGTGTCATTATTATTCACAGTTGAACTAAGGAGTCAACCTAAGCTAGACCACCATCGAAAACCTGGAACAACTGGACGGTCGTTCCGTCCTAGTCTGTAACTCAGTGAGCATCTACGATCCTGAACGGGGGACTCGAACCCAGAGCCTTCGGTTTCAGGCGCAGGCAATGAATGAAAGGTTGCGTAAGACCATGGATTAACTGAAGTTAGGCATTAACATCGTTAGATGTTGACTCAGTGGTCTATAAGTTAAGTGATAGAGTGCAAGACCAACGGTCCTGGACTTGAGTCTCGCGAGCAGGATAGTGGATGTGCGCTTCTGAGGAGCCCCACACTAAGACAGAACGGTCGTTTAGTGCTCCCATGTTTTTAGTGGTGATCTAGCTTAGATCCACTCTGGATTTTAACAGTGAAAATACTACAATCTCCAAACCAAAATATTAATCATCAACTAATACTCATTTCCAAAGCATGTATTTATGAACTTGGCTTTAAATTATACTTTATGTGCTAGTATTAGTGGCATTACCTGATTGTTCACACTAAAGTAGGTTAAGAGATGTTCGAATCTATGACCTTATAGTTGAAGGCTAAGTACTTTAGGCATCAAATCACTGAAACAAATCTATGGGCTATTTAAAACTGAAAGTGGTATTTTAAATAAAAATGGGCTGTTTAGTTCTTCAAGAAAATTTATTTCAACAGATTTCTACTATAGCAATAAATAAATAGATGAGATAAATTTATTTGCGCAAAGTTGAGGAGGATTAGAATTCCAAATGGACTGGAACTTTTCTGCTCCACTATACTTTGATTTGAGTTATCGGCTAAAATTACTACCCTGACTTCTACTATCATTAATTCTTACCGAATACAATATAAAAATGAACAAAAGATGATATAATGAAATTAATGTTCACCTGTATCTATTGTATTATATATCGCTTGATGATTTGCAGGAATATGTTCACCGTCGTCTACTAGTACCAAATTTACAAGTATCGGTTTTTGTCCAGTCTTATATTGTTGAAGACATGATAAAAAGGATATGATAAATAAAACCATTACATAACATGATACGTAAATTCGTTAACTGTTTTCTTTTAAATGAAAATTAGTCTTTCTCATTATCATTCTTACTACATTATTCCGATTATTTTCCTATTCATTTCGTTAACTGAATCTCGTACTAATATGGTATGGCGACCCGGGCCAAAATAAATTTGTTTCAGGTTCTACATTTATTATAACTGACTGACTGGCAAGTTTCAAATATAACACGACAGCAATTCAGTGTAGATGTTACAGAGGCGTTGAGGTAAATACAGTTTATCAATCCCCATCTTAGATTATTTAGCTCGACGCTCGTGTCAGATGTCTGATTTTTCTTACCTTTCTCCTTAATAGCAGATATATTATTACTATTTAATTCCATATCCGATTTTGCACTGAATACATTACAGGGTGATACAGGATCGTTTAGTGAATGATGTTTTAGAAGTGACATTTTCCATCTATAACTATGCTGCTAATAATAATTGTAATAAAAGCCTTGTTCATTATCATAAATTTTGTTGCAGTAAGGTATTCTCAGATTCAATTGTGCAACATCGCAACAAATCTCTCTTTAACACAAGTTCAAATTTTTTTAGGAGATTATATGTTACAAATGTTATTTTCAGTAGTTGGTATCCTCTACCTATCTTCAATGTCAAAAATTTACAATCAGTTATCAGGCGATACAACTATTTTTCTTCTCATCCAATAAATACTGAATTCATAAGTTCCAATAAATTCGTCTTTTATTTTTCAAACGATAGACAAGAAAGAGAACACGCCAACAAGTTTAGTGTTTCAGTCTGAGATATTTAGTACTCAACCCTTTCATAATACTGCATTAATACATACAGTCGGAACTCATAATTATTCACTTCAAGGAAATCTAAGAAGGAAGGCCTATTGAGATATTTCCACAGTTGAAAATTAGGTGGTATAAATGTCTGGACAAACCACTTCAGTCTGTGTACATATAGCAAAACGTATTCAAAGCATTACTTTGTAAACAAAAATCATGCATTACTTTCTGACACAGCGTATAAACAATCTGACATTAATTTTCAATCTGGCATACAACTTTCCGAGTAAAAATTTTATTTTACATTTGCTTATCATTCCCTACTAGTCCTTTAGTGATATTTATATTACTAGTGTTTTTACTTGATCCTCTATTTACTAACTTCAACGTCATTGATGTATACCTATATAAAATGTATATAATTAGAACTGATAATCGATATCCTAAATTTTGCTTTTAAATTTAAAATCAGACCACATAAAATGGTTAAATTAGAATATCTTATACGAAAGCCAAAAGTTTTCTTCTGAAAACCCAAAAAAATAGGGACCGACCGAATTCCTTCAAGCATTGTCATACTATCCAATCAAAAATATCATATTCATTTCTAACAGTATCTGCAATATATGTGATATAGTCTGGCACATAGATAAATATGTAATTGACAAGTCACAATCCCTGTAAACTGTTAGAATACTTATCTGCTTTAAATAGTGTACAATTTTATTTTATTTAAATTAACTAGTCACGTTTTTGAATATGAGTCGCACTCCAAGTGTGAAGACTAATGATACTCACAACCCAGTTACTCAAATAGCAGGCGGGGCGGGGCGGGAACCTGAGTTAATGGTTGAAAGTCGGACCTTTTAACCACTGAGGCACCAAATAATTTTTCAAGACAAACCAATGAACCATTGAACTTACACATGTATTTATATTTTCTGAAACATAACATAGGTATCGTGTACGTCGCGAAAGGAGACTTGATGGCCACAAACAAGCATCATCAGCACTATCTGAAGTTCGAGATAACTAAAAAAGATTGTGAACATTAGAGCACTAGCAAACCATTTGATTTAGGAGTATGACGCTGGTTTCAGTTAATTAATTGAATAAAGCAAGGTTTATAAGATAACTTTGTAAAAAATCAAAAGATAATTCCAATGTAATGATATAGGTTACTTTAGGATGGGACGTTTCAGGGTAATTGATGATATGAAGTACGAAATTAGGTAAGAGTATTCAGACAGAAGTACTTACATTTGCATAAGACTGTGTTAGATCTGGTATTATCTACCAGAATGCTAAGTAACAAGTACTGATTTGAAGACGTCTGATTTGTTACTTGGATTTGCATTTACCTATTAACAACTTAAGTGATATTCAAGAAATAGCAAACCATCTTCACATATAACATAATTTTAGAGTTCACAGTCAGTTATGGAGTATGTTACTGATGACTGGCAAATGAAAACATGGTAATAAAAAAATAACGGGATACGGTCAAAATCTCCGATGAGGCGCATTCTCATAAAGCATAACGCTCCCGGAAAATAATCCTACTTGTAACCTATTTATTAAGCACACGCTTTACAAATACGACTAAAGCGCAATGCATGAGCTATTGGTGCTACCACGTTGGCCAAACCGTATTACTTGAAGCGGGTTCGAATATACAATCTACAGGCTGGAACCCAATAGCTTCGACCACAGAGCCTAAGCTCTACAAGCAGAATAACTAATTAGAATATGATAGTAAACTGCTCTCTTCAAGAGAACATATGCTAAATCAACCGCGGAGAGGTAACGCTGAATAAAAATATTACACAAAGCGAAGGTAAATATTACAAAGCTTTCTTGATTCATGACTTTCATATATTTTAGATGGTGGAGACCAGTAACCAGTCAGATTCAATATCGACAGGATAAGTCGCTAGTTACTTTCGGAGAGATCCTAATAGGTAACTTCATTCTGTAGTATGTCATGATTTCCTCGAGAAATACAATGAAAACTTAACAATCAAACTACTTAGTTCATGGCATACAACTTCAACAAGATTGTACATACATACTTTATTTATGGTTGCAAATGTAGAGGTCAATCATTTATAATGGTCAAATACAGCTAATTATGCTTACTTCCACAAAACTCGAACTTTGTAGTTATAAATAATAAAGTCAAAACTAAAAACCCATTGGCAATCTTTAACAGTACATCAACCAATCATTTTCATAAAGGAAAAGAATTGGGACACATCCTTTCCATACGTCTTGTCAACGAAAACCGACGCAACAACAAAAGGAAATGTTCATCGTAAGTCGGTTACACAAACACAACGTACACATTTTTCAGCTTGTATTTCATTACAATATAGGTGAAATCTAGTCAAATGTTCGGATAAAACAGTTAAAATAACATGCTCTGATGATATCCTTAAAGAAGAATCAAAACGTATCCATGATTCACCAAGCAAAGATACACACATTCATCAAAGTTCCTGATAAAACAGAGAATGAGGATGAAGTAAAATCACTGACAGCACCAAGCATACCTTTATTCCCAAAATTAGTTTAAACTTGGTATAGTGGGTGGAATAATGTGACATACAAGAAAAACCACATAGCGTTCATTCGATGTAACAAGATCATCCGTTTCTTTTTCTAGTCAACTGATACTGTGTTTAACTCCGCCTGGAGCCCCTCTGGGGATAATGCCGGTCCAAAGCCCGTGTAAATGAGGAGGGCTGGGCATGAAGTTAGCGACCTCATCCCATAGAAAACTAACTCGCTCAAAAAACGCTAACTAGATATTGTGTTTACGGAATAACAATAAAATAACTAGTTTCACAGGCTCCACCTCATATTAACAAATTCAGCAACTGCTACATTAGGTACATAATTTTCAGTCTCTTAATATTATCGATACCAACATTATTAAGATCTAACTGATATTTAAATCATTACATCTATCTCACTACAACGATAATTCTTACTAACATGGATCGAAATGCATTCAATTCAGGCTTCGTATTGGTGGTGGTCTGTTATTGAGTACATAACATTCCGATCCCCAGATTTGAGAGGAAAATTTGAAGCCACAATGAAAACTTTTGGGGAAATTGCCCAAACCCCAAAAATTTCTTCAGGTGTGGGGAAATCTCTCTGAACTGACTTAAAATCTTGGAGAAATCCACAAAATTGTCAGAAATTTTGGGTTTTCCCGAAACTTCGAGTTTTCAGATGACTCCAAGTAAAGCCCTAAAATTTACCCAACATCCGGGGACTGGAACTCCCAAATACGCTCGAGGGAAAGGATCAACATTCAAAATGAGCACAAAGATTAATAGCGACTTTAAGTCAGTTGACTCCAATGATGTATAGCTTAAAACATTTCATATACTCCAATAATTTTATTAAACTTGAGTGCTTGCTATGTTCGGAGCAACAAAATGTGGTTTACAGTTGTGAACCAACGATAAAAAAGTGTTTCAACTTACGACTTCATACTTTTGCTGTTTGGCTCCAGCCTGTGCGACAAAACCAACAGCTGTTATTACACAAGACGAGTCAGGATCGGCGCCGGAACTCATTGTCGTCCTGTTCCGCTCACCTCAAATCAAGTGACTTTTTCCAATGTAGTCAATATCATCATATGGTTCAAATAGTGTTGCAAATGGTTGTGGACGGAATAAAAGAAGCTTTCGCTTGACAGGCTACCGCGTCTAGTAGCTGTGGATCACTAATACCTCCAGGAGGGAACGGTAATAGAAGAAAAAAATGATAAATCATAATAAGATGTCATCCTTAGTCCTTAACAATAGGTCAAGTTTTCTCTTAAAGGACTCCTGGAAATTCGCTTGGACTAGTTCAGTCGGCAGCGAACTCCAGCACTTGACAACTCTTACGGAGTAGATGTTGTGTCCACAGTTCGTTCTGCTATGATGTATCTCCAATTTCTGGGTGTTACCCTTAGGTTTGTGTTGGGACTACGCTTAAGTAGGTAATTAAGGGGATGTCTAGAAGTGTTAAGGATTAGAAGGTCACCTCTACGACGCCTATACTCTAATTGGTAGAGGTTAAGAGATTGAAGGCGCTCTTCATAAGACTTGAATTTGAGTTCCCCAACTGATTTCGCGGCTCGCCATTGGATACGCTCTAAAGTGTCCTTATCCTTTTGGAGTGAAGAGGAAAATACTATGTTTCCGTACTCTAAATGGGGACGGATAAAACTGTTGAAGATTATGTGGAAAGTTCTTCCGTCAAACTGGCCAAAAATGCGCTTCAATGTTGCCAGTGCAAGGTTTGCTCGAAAGGCATTTCTGTCACAGTTAGCGTTAGGCTTCAAATCGTAGGGTATCAGGACTCTTAAATCTTTTCCGACTCGGGGTGCTACTAGAGAGGAGTTTCTTTAGTTGTAACTGTAGTCTGCGACATGTCGCAGATGGACTGTTTTACACTGTGAAGTGGTAAATGTAAGTCCGTTATCGTCTGCCTAACTTTGAAGTCGAGTTAGATCCTCCTAAAGTGCCTGTATATCCTCTTAGTTGCGTATCTCTCTCAAAAGTTTCACATCATCAGCGAAACGTAATAAGTCTGATCAACTTATTTAGACAGATTGGTTTGCTTGCACTTGCTTCATTTCTATTTCAGTGTCATTACATTTTACTAATGGCTCCCGATTGGAATATCTTGGCCGCTCGACAGCACTCAGCTAGAAGTGCTCGATTATGAGTTTGTATCTTGAAATTTGGGTAGGTACGTTCATTGTATGACTAAATTTCCTGAAACTAGCAGTGATTACATTATCTGGCAGTCGACTGATTGGGTCAAATCATGAAGCGAACTAAGAATTTTAATTCAGAAGGGCAATGAGAAGACTCGTGAGTCGCCTCGTGCCACATAGTGGTTAGGTGTTCTTGTGTAGGTTATTTGTGCATGCGTGACTTGACTTGCTATTGTCAAGTCATCTCTTATTCTCTTGTTACCTTGCATGAATAATGTCAAGTGCATAAATCTAACCTCACAGGACTTTTCCCCCATTTTATTCGCCGTTTCTACAACTGTTCCGTGATATCTACACCTTTCTTGAAGGCATAAGTTAGAAGCTACCTCTTGTTTTTGTCACACGGCCTTGAAGGCATAAAGCGACGAAAGATTTCTGTGCTCGGATGCCTCTATGTGATCCGTTAACTTGCATCGGCGAGACTATAAGTTGTGAACAACCTTTGAACGAATCTTTGGTGACTTTGAGAAATATTAACCAGTCAGAAGTAGTGTTTAGTATACCGTCTAACGTGAAAGTAATCTGAGTGCTTAGTCCAGCACAATAAACCAGAGGTTGTGTATTTCATTAATGAAGACTAGTTTCCTGTACTTCAATGAACTTATAGAGCAGTACATGTGGTTTCCTCAAAATATTGCAGCTAAGACTTTAGTACTGTGGACCATACCCTTCTTCCTGCAAAATGTTGGTCTGATGATTGAAGCTTTATTGACGTCGACCCCAGAATCATTATATATCAACTCAAAATAACTAGAATTTTATGACTGACCTTTATTTCGAACACAAATCATAAAAATGTTATGTAATTCTTTAAATGGAGTTCCATCTACTTAATTATGTCAATACATAACTTTGACTACAACGGTATGCATACATTGACGGTAATTGCCATAGCATATTTTCAGTTGTGAAATTGACATTAAGTGTATCCTCAATACTGGTTTAAGTATTGAGGGGCGTGAATTCTGAATAAAGCATTCATCTTAGGTTCACATTATATCAGAAATTTATTTGACCGAATGCCATGCACTTGACTGAGGCCAAGATCACTCACATTCGACTCAATGTCAATTATCAAGCAGTTGTCTCACAACATAAAAAATCTTGATGTCATTGTAGATTAATGTGGGTACAGACACTAAAAGCACAACCACCACATGAAAAGAAATATCACTCGTCAATCTCGTCAATAAACTACGTATCGAACCGGCGATCAAGTCGTGTTTTATGTAGCTAATCAGAGATAAGTAGGGTTGCCAAAAGTCATACAGTTCAACTCTAACCTGCTGTGAAACTACAAGAACAATAGAGTTTGTGGTCATGCACCGACCTATATAAAAAAGACAAGACGTAAAAAAATATAAACCGTAGATAAAATTGATTCTAATTCTCATTCGAAGCGAGGAAAAAACCGATTACACTGGTTAAGGTATTGAGGGCAACGATTATCTTACATTTAGAAATGAGAGTAGCAGTTATTTTTACACAATATGTAGACTTATAGTCTACTATGATATTAGTACTTCTCTAATAGTAGACCTAATCCTAAAATTGTAGGGTTATCATGATATAAATGCCTAATCTATAAGATCTTACATGGGAGTTACATTGTAGAATTACGGTCTACAATGATATTAGCACTGCTCTAATAATAGACGTAATCCTAAAATTGTAGATTTTTTGTGATGTAACTACCTAATCTATAAGATCTTACGTGGAAGTCACAACATCATCTACACCAACTCACTGCGTCGTAACAATTACCAATACATGATATAGAACAATCTTAGGCTAGAGACGGAACAATATATTTAATATGAATAAAAAACATAAGATAACATTCAGCAGGGATCACGCCTGAAAGGCCGAGCCATGCCATCCGATGAACTCGGACTAGTTCAATTCATCATCCCCACCTTCTCCATTCTTCCTTAAGTGTTGAATGTCTATTTCCCATATTGTCTCGTGGTAGGGCTCAATGCCACTACAAATACTTACACAGGGGGATTTTCGCCCACTTGCAAATCTACTCATACATAAACACTTAAGGAAGATTTATAAAAAATCTTTGACAGTTGCGAGTAGCATTTTGGGAGAGACTATAATTTATAGACGGAGCAACCAGATTTAGAATAGCAAGTCTCGGATTTTGGTGCGATGTTCATTCACCTATTTATCTAGACAGTGTTTCGTCACTTTAGCTGATATTAATCCGCAGTGAAAACCATATTTCTAACTCTCAACTCTTACCATCAACTGTAAATAATAACTCTTCAAACTGTCTTTTAACCATTATTTAGCCCTAGAAAGTAGGTCACCAAGGCGTCATACAAAGGTCGTCCAAAACTATAGTCTTACTACATTTAAGCACACATTACAGTAACATATGTTTAAGAAAGTGATGTTCGATGGTGAGGGTAAAATTGTTGGGGTATTCGGAAAATACCCCAGAAATTATCTAAAGCCATTCCTGAATGAGAAATAGTGTCATTTCCCCATTGGTCAACATTCTTCCGTGTCATTTCCCTATTGGTCAATATTTAGTTGTGTCATTTCCTGGAGGTCAAATCATGTACAAATGTTACCTCTATTTTATGGTACGATGTAGTCTGTTTGTTTGGTATATAAACAGAGTATGCTTGAAATATAGTGATTCACATCACAGAGGCTGAGACTTGTGTTCTGGACTCAACTGGCTGGGCTAGACAGGGAAGGGCCAATCAGAACTCTAGGCTGTTCTTACGTGTTTACGCGTCTTTGGTCTGATCAATAATTCTCTCTCTCCTCAAATCGCACGCACGTCTCTCTCAATTATAACAAAAATATAGTCAGTCGTCAAGTGTGGACAAACAGACACAACCTACTGACTCATGAATGTTTGGTTTCTTTTCCTTTCATTTATTTTTACTACGGAATCACTCTGACGGACTGTCTGTCCTTGTGTGGAACTAAGTGTTAAACAACACTTGTCTTGGTTTTATCCTCTTGTTCGTGGGGCGTGTATCTGATATAACTTGATTCAGTGGCTTGTTAACGTATTGTATTAGTATATCATCAAGAGAAAAAATACTTCAAATAATCTATGTCGAAAAATTGTCAACTTGTATTAGCACTGATTCAAACCACGTGATTTTTGAAGCCGAGCGTATGATTCATGAGAAGATTTACATTCAGCATGTAACACTTGGAGAAGATTATTGATGGTGAACGCGAGAACAATCGGATTGTTCTAGATAGTATGGCTCGGTCGTGCAGGGGTGGTCATTCTGTGTTAAACTTATTACAATGTAGATAATTATGTAATTTCCACGAAAGATCTTATAGATTAGGTTTTCACATCATGATATATCTACAGTTTTGGAATCAGGCCTCTTATTGTAGTATCAAAGATAAATGTTCTTATAACGAATATGGACTATAGTTCCATCTTAAGGAAAAACATTCCGACTAAAAAACACAAGTCATCTAATCGTAAGTTTGCTAAAGTTCAGAGACAATATGATTATTTCAAAACCCCCTTGCTTAAAATTTAGTGTGACGTACCTATTCGATTCGCAAATCAATCCCTGAATGGTTAAAGAAAATTATATGCAAGGATCCACACTACCAAGTGCTTGTACGAACTTAATATTTTTTAAACTTACACGCACGCAAAAGTAATAGCGCACTATAGAACAGGCAAACGGTTTCCGTCTCTATATAAAGGTGGATTCGTGAATCTTGGCGAAACGGACATTGAGCTTCCAACAAGTTGGTTCGACAGCAGGGCATGAGTATAATTAACCCATGTACATGTTGAGTTGCCGA